CCCGTCCCTCCTTTTTTAAGGCTGAATAATATTCCACTGTATGTATATGCCACATTTTGCTTATCCATTCATCCATCGATAGACATTTCTGTTGCTTCCACATCTTGGCCACTGTGAAGTGCTACTGAGAGCATGGGTGTGCAACACACAGGCTCTCTTTTAACACAATAGTTACACTGAGTGTGGAAATCCCCCCAGTTTGACAGGCACACAGGGAGGAACTCAGAGTAAGAAATCATAGATTCACATCTTCCAAATCATGCTGAGACAGGGGAAAAGGGGGCAGCTTGTTTGCTCAGAGCAATGGCAGGCTGCATGCTTCGCATTTTTAACTTTAGGTCTTTTCTTTCTAGATGCTTATGATGTGACTTCCCTGTAATGAGTAAATATTAAGGCTTTTGATGCTCTGAGTGAGTCTCAGCATGCATAAAGAGCATTATGAACTGCCTCAATGGAAAACTATCCCCAAACACTTACAGTTCAAATACAGCAGCCCAGTCTGGAAGGAAAAGTAAGTGGGTCAGACCAGCTCCGTGCATCCCAATGAATATGTCAGTGTTATGAGTAATCCTTAGTTGATCTAAAAACCCAAGTTCCCTGTGAATACAGAACAAAAAAGACAGATGGAGAGAAGAGAGAACGTAGTGAGTAAAGCCCATGACTCATAGTAACAATATTTATACAAGTGTCTTTCCTGATTTAAATCACTTTCTACCATGGGGTTTTTATGCCAATTTCAAGCCTATTCCAGTGATTAATAACTTAATGACTCAATAATATAACTTTTTTTCTAAGTAAATTCACTTTTTTAACAAGTTAAATGCATTTATTTTAGAAGAAAACTTTTATAGCTGTCTTAAATGGAAAACCAGTCACACATGACATAAACAAAACTGTAAAAATAGATATAATCAAACTAAAAAGTACTATTCAAATCTAAGTAGATACCATTGCAAGGCACAGCTCTGAGCCTGATGCCTGCTCTCTCTTCATGAAACAGTGAACTCAGCAAGTGCTGAAGGGATGTTATGAAATACTAGCACCAAATTGAAAACTACTTCCTTAAGATGATAAAATGATTTTTAAAAATAGGAAATAAATTCCTCCTTGTGTGAGTTAAGTTATGCAATGTCATCTGAGTAACTAAAATCATCTCAATACCACCAAGCATTTTCTTGCCTTTGCAACAGACTGGTAACAGACTAGTCCATAATTTTGTGCATGTTAGGATGGTAAAAGTGTCCTTGAATTCATGACACTTAACGATGTGCCAACTCGGAACCGAAATCAGGGCCAAAAAAGTTCAGTGAGGTGAGTCTGGGAAGAAATGCTGGAGTAAGGGTAACTCTCTGAATAAACATAATGGGATTGATCTCCCAGTCCTACTTGACCCAAAGTAAAGAAAAATAAACAAGGTTATTTTGGATCTAAGAAGGAAAAGTGAATTTCCTCTCAGCTTCTCTTTGAAGAGCCTCCTTCCACAATACAACAAAAACCTCACACCCACATGGGGAAAGGAAGACAATGGGCACCACGGTGTCTTGCATGAGGTAAATGTGCCTCAGTTTCTCCAGGAATGCCAGCTGACGCTGAGGGAGGGATAGGTGTTCGCCCAGGTGAATACATCCTCAGAATCACCAATGTGGAAAACGCCTATGGATCGGGCCTCACAACCCTTCATGTGGTTATGTTACTAACATTACCCTCAGACAAGCAAGATGTGAATGTATTGTCATTCTTCCTTCATCTGGGAAACCCCTACATATTCTTAAGAGCCAGTCAATGGCAGAGCCTCAGAGGTGCCCTCCCCAGTCCTGTCGGCCTGACACCCGGCCCCTTGGAGCCACTCTTATATCCATCCTCATGTGGCAGTGAGGGTAGTCACCATGGCACAGTGTCATTTGTAAAACAGAGATAGCTTTGCCAACCTCACAAAATTGTTGGGAGAGTGAGAAGAGATAAAGTAAAGCACAGTATAAGTCTCAACACATGGTAGCTGTTCTTACAATTGCTATTTATTTGTACTCGGTGTCCAAGGTCCTTCATGACTGGATTCCTGCTGAGAAGCCTGTGACCAGCTCATGGCAGGTACCCAACAAAGATTTGTTGTAGAAAAGAACGGATGTAAGATGAGTGAGGTACAAAACTCCCCTGCTTATCAATAGGTTTAAACCTGTCTACATTAGACACCCTTATGCTGGTATATGCATACTTTTCCTTTTTTAACATTGAAAGAAATGATTTATAGTGTTCAGTTTGACAAACAAAACTATGAATGTGAGCGGACAA